TTCATCACGGACCCAAGTGTTTGATCTTCCTTTCCCTTGGAATTGTTTTCCGACGGTATTGTTGAAGGGTTGCGACCCAAACTTCTTTGGTCCTTTGCTTTCCCTAGGCTCGAACTTCCTGGCAGGGACGGTGATTGCTGGCTTTTCTTGCTTATTTCTCTTGGCAAAGCTTTCTTTTTCGTCCTCGACCTCCATCCAGTTGTTCGCGCGAAAGAGTGCATCCTGAATTGTGTCTGGTTTATGAAGTATTAAGTCTTCTTTAAACCTTGAATCATGTCGCAATCCTTTTCGTAGGGCAGATAAAGCTGATTGCTGCGAGATTCTTGGGAGCTTTGACAGCACTCCTTTGAACTTGGTGATGAAAACTCGAAGTGACTCGTTAGATCCTTGCGATAAGTTCCAAAGATCGGCATCTGAAACGCTTTTATCCATAAGGATGGAGTATTGCTTTAAGAATACGGCTGATAGTTCGTCGAAATTGCTGATCGAGCCCGGCTCTAATTGGGTGAACCACATTAGAGCTTGGCCACATAGATTCTCCGAAAACAGCTTGCAGTAGCCTGCGTCCTCATCAGCTTCATCCAATTCGACTCTTCCCGCAGCGATCAGAAAAGCTGCGAGATAGCTTTTTGGATCCTCCAATCCGCTGTAAGGGTCCAATTTGAGTTTCCGGGAATCTTTGATCCTCAAACTCGCAATTCGCGAGATGAAAGGTGTTCGCCTAGCTTCTTCAATGACTCGATTGATGTCTGGCTCTGAACTTGTAGCTTGATGAAATTTTGATTTCATTTCTTTTAACTCCTGGCTAACCTTCCTCATGGTCTCGAACTGGTCGAGGTTCTCCTGCTCGTACTGAGCTGCAAGTTGTTCTTCATCCCCGAGCTGCGTCTCTTCTTCCAACGTCTGAGCTACATTATTAGTAGCACCGGGAGTTGTTTGTCCGCTGGTTTCATTTCGTGCAGCGGAACTTGGCGAGTTGAATATCCCTCTTCGGATTCCCACCGGGTTTCCTGCACTTAAAGAGCGAACACGAGTTTGTATAGTATTGACGTTTTGACTAAGAGATACCTGGGATGTTTGCAACGTATCGACGGCCTTTTCCACATCCGAGAATTTTTGTGATATGTCCGACATGGTTTGCTGCATAGCTTTGAGGGTTTCGGCCAATGATATCTCAGCAGCGTCTCCTCCGGACATTGTTGCTTATCTCGGAAGTGTGATAAAGAAAAAATCTGACCACTCAAGAACCTAATTTTCCCCACAGGCGGCGCCAAAATGTGGATGTCGGATTCACACACTCAAGTATTTTATTAAGCGGGAAAGATTATTCTTGAGGGACAAAAATGAATGTATAAAAACTTGTGAATTGTTACGAAAATTGCTATATTATTTCTTTTTTTGAGAGGAAGATCCCCCTTACATGGCCATTGGCCTCTATATTTATACATAGAGAAGCGACATTAAAATGAGTAATTAAGCACAATTATTCCTTCTTAAATGTGTCCGTTTTGATTCTTTGACTTTAATGCTCAACGTTTGAATTTGAGTTGACTCTGATCTTCGTGGGCCCCGCCTTTTCGGCCCAAATATCCTTGAACCATCTTACCCATGCCTTCTTCATCGAACTCATGTCGCAATGTAATCACTTCAGATTCTCGAAGTGGTGACAACCACTTCGACCGTTCCTTCGACTCATGGGTCCATTGGGCTTCGTCCTTTATGGGCCACTATTTTGACTACGTGGCAATCTTTGGTTGGTCGCGGACTTCTGGTGCGGGATCCGACACCAACACCGATAATTCAAAAATCAAAGAAGTTTCGGAACAAGAGGAAATCAAATCGAAATATTTCTCATGAGAGAGTCAAACAATAAAATAAATAAAAAAATTAAAAAGGTGGGAGAAGAAGTTACCTTTTAACCGGTGGAAAAAAAAAATCGCCTTGGGAGTAGTGGAGAAGTGGGACATTTTTCCCTATTTTTATTAATACTCCCTCCGTTATTTTATAAGTGATGTTTTAAACTTTATTTTGTTCTTAAATAGATGATGTTTTCAATTTTTAATGCAAAATTAATTACTTTTCTATTGGTTTTGACAATTTATATTCAGTAGATTGTTTTTTATTGGTTGATTAGATAATAAATGATGATTTTGTTTAGAAAAAATAAAAGTTAAATGATTTCTTAATTTATGTGTATTCTTCTAAAACATCACTTATAAAAGAACGGAGGGAGTAAATAATGGGATCGGAAGAGTTAATGCGACAAACGTCAAGGTTGTCAATCATTACAATTCCGAAATCCGAGAGGATATGATTGGGTAAATTAAGGAATCAAAGATCGTGTCAAGGAGTTTTCGGCATTAAGTATTTAAGTCTTCCAAACTGGAATAGCAGCTCGAATGACTTGGGAGGCTAATTGCTGGTTTGAATCCCGAACTCTTAGTTTGGATCCTACATGAAGATTGCTCGAGTGTTGAAATCGTAGACTATCTCCAACTTTGATTTGTAACGTAATCTTACAAATTCCGTCCGACCAAATTCATCTTTTTAAATTCAGACACGTAATATATAGTTTTTTACTTGAGCACTAAAGTGAACCATATCAAAAAAAAATTGTTTTCTTGAGGTTTTGTTACCATTTTGTTGTAACATTCATTTAATCAAACCCGATTACCGGTTTAAAGCAACTCAAAGAGACTTATTTTTTTGAGTAATATTAGAAACTAGCCATGGAATAGAAAAGAATTAAGAGAATAGCCTTGTGTCAGAAAACATAGGTAAATAACCTTTTGTGGAGTAGGAAAAATACTAAAATATCCTTCAGTTTTCTTGTTTTTACAATAACGCCGATGGCAGTAGTTACAATAACTCTTGTTGAACAAATCATGTGTTTCTCTGAAATAACACGACATATTAACAAAAACATACTATTCTCTTGAATAACACGAAATATTAACAACCATATATAATTGTTAACAAATTTCATGGATTTTTATTAGATAGCGTGACAAGTATTTATATATCAAGGGTAATAGTATATTTTGTTCTTAAAATACATGCATTTTAAAAATTAGACATGTGTTTTAAAATCAGATCTAATCTCTTATCACACCGGGGAGTGGTGGAGAAAATCCGGCGAGAAGAGAAAACAGAGTACGACCAAGAGAGATGAAAGGGAGAGATTTTTAGGAAAAACAATTGTTAAAAAGAGATCTGGTAGTGAAGAGATTCGATGAGAAAAAGAAAGAATGAGAAAAAAAAAGATTTCATGGTAAATGTGATGAAAGTTTTTAATAATTGTGCACAAGTCTTGTTGAACAAATAATGTGTTTCTCTAAAATAACACGATATATTTACAAAAAAACATACCATTTTCTTAAATAACACGAAGTATTAACAAATAAATATAATTGTTAAAAACTTTCATGGGTTTTTATTGGATAGCGTGACAAATATTTATATATCAGTGGTAATAGCATGTTTTTTCCTTAAAATACATGCATTTTAAAAACTAGTCATGTGTTTTAAAATCAGATTTAATTTCTTAATTATCACACCGGAGAGTGGTGGAGAAATTCGGCGATAATGGAAAACAGAGAACGACCAAGGGAGATGAGAGGGAGAGAATTATAGGAAAAAAGAAAGAGAAAACATGTGGTGAAGAAATCTGACAATAGGAAGATATGGGTAAAGAAAAAGAGATCTAGTAGTGAAGAGATTAGATGAAAAGAAGAGAGATTGAGAAAAAGAAAAGATTCCATGGTGAATCTGGTGATGAATTCTGGCAAAAAAAAAAGAAGAGAATCAGTGATGATGAAGTCAAGAGGAAGCGACAGTGGAGAAGCCATGGCTGTGGTGGTGGATACAATGGATGTGATGCTGGACACAAATGAACTATTTAGAGCTTATGGATCTGATAGTGGTTATCTCTGTAATGGAGTTGTTAGAGAGAAAGTGGTGGTAGTTTCGGAGAAATCAAAGAAATAGAAAGAGAGAGAAAGAGAATGAAAAAGAGACGAATGATTAGCTTTAGTTAGGGTAAAAGTGTCATAAATGGTGTGCAAAAGTCTTTCTCTCTCTCATACTTTTGATTCATGGCTATTTACTTAATTCTTTTGTAGTCAAAGGTTAGTTACTACATATTCTCTATTTTTTTACACCTACATAATAATACTGAAATTTGGACAATTTTAATGTTGAAAAGGAAAAATTAATATTCAAACATTTCTAGATAATAAAATTGTAATATTCTTTACCGAATTCAAAAGCTACAAATATTTATTTTGGAAGAGTAAGGAGTATTTACTTATTTAGTGTTCAATCCTAATTATTATGGATATATATATATATATATATATATATATATATATATATTATAGGCCACCTTGATTACTAAAAAAAAAAAATAGTAACAAACTTTAAAATATTAAATGTTAAACTTAAACATACCCGGAGGTAGTTCGGAGTTGCTTCTAATATATAATAAGAAAACAATTACATAACAACTTTTAGTTATCAAGAAGTCTTTGTTAATTTAAAAAGAAAAAGAAAATCACATTTATCATGAGTTTAAAACACGGGAAAAAACCCGAAAAAACCGCCATCTATTTTTTTTTTTGCCGTTTAATACGCGTGTTATTAAAGTTGGAATAAAAATGCCTGGTTTAATTTCAATTGCCTTTTAAAATCGTCGTGTTTTAAAACTTGGTATAATCATACACCCGCGTTAACAGGCGTTAACTCTACTAACGGAATGGCTAACCGCGGTTAAACCTTAACCCATGGTGTTTACGTATATATATACAATCTCTTTTCTAACATATACAAATATATTATCTTAGTCTGGTGGTTAAACGTGTGTTGAATTGTCCACTCGAACCCAAGTTCGAATCACACCGCCGTCACTTTAAAACGTTTTTTTTTTTGGTCTTCATCAATATACAATGCACATTCAATGTAAAGCTCTGGTTTTTTCTCCTCTGCGACGGAGATAACTCCTAAAACACACACAAAAATCAAACCAACTCATCACAAGAACTGAACCAATTTGCAGTAATAAGCCAATTCCGACATAAATTCTTAAATTTCACACACCAATCAACAAAACAAGTTCCCATTAAACCAAAATTAGGGATTAAGAGAATCAATTCAGAATCGGTAACAGATCTGGAGTTCTGCACGATGGACCGTCCAATGGAATTGATCCAATCTTCTTTCTCCTTCTCCGAATCAGCGATGAAGTACATAGTCTCATCTCTCGTCGATAGCTCGAACGCGTTTTGCTTGTTGAGGACATCCTCCGCTCCTTTGGCGGTTAAGCACGACGCGACGGGGACGACACCGCGAGGGCGTGAGACGCGCGTGACGTCGAAGTCTTTGAACCAGAAGAGCTTCCCTTGTTTGAGCACGAACCAGCGGCGTCGCCAAGTCTTGATGTACTCTCCCTGTTTCGTGAGCCATCCGGTTCGTTCTGGGTTGGACCAGAACTCTACGCCTCCGTAGTCGTCGGAATTGTTGCTCTGACCGCCGGAGGAGATCATCAGCTTTAATGGAGAAGATGGAGAAAAACAAACTAAAAAAAAAAACGTCAAAATGGGGATTCGAACCCAGGTTTAGTTGGGATGTCTTCCCGCATTTAACCATCTGGCTACAACAATATAGTAGTAAGTTTTCGGACAGAGAATGTATATATATACTTAAACACCCTGGGTTAAGGATTTAACCGCGGTTAGTCATTCCGTTAGTAGAGTTAACGTCTGTTAACGTGGGTGTATGATTATACCAAGTTTTAAAACACGACGATTTTAAAAGGCAATTGAAATTAAACCAGACATTTTTATTCCAACTTTAATAACACGCGTATTAAATGACCAAAAAAAAATAGATGGCGGTTTTTTCGGGTTTTTTCCTTTAAAACACTACCCTATATCTTATGGTATTACTGTATTATTCAATTATTTTACCGATCCAATGTCTACTCGGACTTTTTGTCTTTTGCTTCTTTTTCTATCTTTTTTTTTTTGGTTAAAAAAAAAACGGAAGCAAAGAGACATGTGAATGTTGTTGTGTCTTTTCCTAAGTTCTTTGAAGGAGAATATGAGGTTGGGATTAATCTCAATTCATCAACGAATCTGATTCCGTCACTTTGTTCTTGCCTCTTTCTTCTCCTTCTCCATTTCTTCTCTTTCTCTCCTTCAATATTCATATTTGGTTGATTATTTCTTTAGTAGTTGTAGAAGCTTCGTAAGCAGCAAAAACTAAAAGGTAAAGCTCACTAATTCGGTACATTATTCTGCCTTAAATTACCATTTCTGGGTTTTCTTTTTTCCCTTGGTCCTACTGAATCAAAGTCATCATCAGATTGGTCCAATTTTATCTTTGTTTCTCTCTCACATGTGTGTATCAGATATGAAGCAACTCTGGGCTTTGTTGTTCTTGTCTTGCCTTTGTACTGGATTGTTCACAAAAGCACATTCTGAGAAACCAAAAGTTGTAAAAATCGGTTCTATATTCAGTTTTGATTCAGTGATCGGCAAAGTTGCTAAGATTGCTATTGATGAGGCAGTGAAAGATGTGAATTCAAACCCAGACATTCTCAGAGGAACAAAGCTTTCTGTTTCGATGCAAAACTCTAATTGCAGCGGTTTTATGGGCATGGTTGAAGGTACCCTTTGAGACTTATTTAGTTAATGTTTTGGATGTTATCAGTATTGAGTCGTTTGTTTGTGTTGTTGTTGTTGTTGTTGTAGCATTGCGGTTTATGGAGAAGGATATAGTTGGGATCATAGGACCACAATGTTCTGTAGTTGCTCATATGATATCTCATATGGCAAACGAACTTCATGTGCCTCTTCTTTCGTTTGCTGTTACGGATCCTGTAATGTCGCCGTTACAGTTTCCGTATTTTATTAGGACGACTCAGAGCGATTTATACCAGATGGATGCTATTGCTTCTATTGTTGATTTCTATGGTTGGAAAGAAGTAATTGCTGTGTTTGTCGATGATGATTTCGGAAGGAATGGTGTGGCTGCGTTGAACGATAAGCTTGCGAGTAGGAGATTGAGAATTACTTATAAGGCTGGTTTACATCCCGATACCGTTGTGAATAAGAATGAGATCATGAACATGCTAATTAAGATCATGTTGCTTCAGCCGAGGATTATTGTGATACATGTTTACTCGGAATTGGGTTTTGCGGTTTTTAAGGAGGCTAAGTATCTTGGAATGATGGGAAATGGGTATGTTTGGATTGCTACGGATTGGCTCTCCACGAATCTTGACTCTTCCTCTCCGCTACCCGCTGAGCGATTGGAAACTATTCAAGGTGTTCTTGTTTTGCGTCCGCACACGCCTGATTCTAGTTTGAAACGGGAGTTTTTCAAGAGGTGGCGCAAGGTTTCCGGTGCTTCTTTGGATCTTAACACGTATGCTCTATATGCTTATGATTCTGTTATGCTTTTAGTGCGTGGTTTAGATAAGTTCTTCAAAGACGGTGGGAAAATATCGTTTTCTAATCACTCAATGCTTAATACTCTGGGAAAGAGCGGAAATCTCAACCTCGAAGCGATGACCGTCTTTGATGGTGGAGAAACTCTACGTAAAGATATCCTCGGAACGCGTATGGTTGGTTTAACAGGACAGCTTCAGTTCACTCCGGATAGGTCTAGGACCCGTCCAGCTTATGATATAATCAATGTGGCCGGAACCGGTGTTCGCCAAATAGGCTACTGGTCAAATTATTCTGGTTTATCAACCATATCACCCGAGTCACTCTACACAAAGGAGCAACCAAATATGTCTTCTGGTACAACAAGTCAGAAACTAAGGCATGTGATTTGGCCGGGAGAAACGTTTACAAAACCTCGCGGATGGGTTTTCTCTAACAATGGGAAAGAACTCAAGATTGGTGTGCCTCGTCGCGTTAGTTACAAGGAGTTTGTATCACAAATTCGTGGAACCGAGAATATGTTCAAAGGGTTCTGCATTGATGTGTTCACAGCTGCAGTGAACCTTTTACCGTACGCAGTCCCTGTCAAGTTTATTCCATATGGAAACGGAAAGGAGAATCCGAGCTACACGCATATGGTTGAGATGATAACAACTGGTGTGAGTGCTTATTACATTCTTTCTAATAAAAGATTTTTACCATTTTTGCTTACTTTTAAAATGGATTTACTGCAGAATTTTGATGGGGTAGTAGGTGATGTTGCCATTGTAACTAACCGGACAAAGATTGTAGATTTCACACAACCGTATGCAGCATCTGGACTAGTTGTTGTTGCTCCTTTTAAAAAACTGAATTCAGGAGCTTGGGCTTTTCTCCGACCTTTCAATCGACTTATGTGGGCAGTCACGGGTTGTTGCTTTCTCTTTGTTGGCATTGTTGTTTGGATCTTAGAACATAGGACTAACGATGAATTCAGAGGCCCGCCGAAGAGACAATGCGTCACAATTCTTTGGTCAGTTTATTATATTTTTAGAGGAGTAGCTTAGAAAGAACAAGTCCCATTTACCTTGTTGGAAGTCCATCAACTGCATGTTATCTTTGGCTGATACATTTATTTTTTGTTTGATATCTGCAGGTTTAGCTTCTCGACCATGTTTTTCGCGCATAGTATGTTGAAAAAAATGAAAAGAAAACTTAAAGTGGCACTGGTTATTGTTGGCTTTTGACTGACATGAGTCTTTCCCTTTGTTTTGGCAGGAGAGAACACAGTTAGTACACTTGGGCGGTTGGTTCTGATCATATGGCTATTTGTTGTACTAATTATCAACTCGAGCTACACGGCTAGTCTTACATCGATTCTTACGGTTCAGCAGCTCTCTTCACCCATCAAGGGAATTGAAAGCCTTAAAGAAAGGGATGATCCGATCGGGTACCAGGTGGGTTCGTTTGCAGAGAGTTATTTGAGGAATGAACTCAACATATCAGAGTCACGGCTCGTCCCACTTGGAACACCTGAAGCATATGCCAAGGCATTAAAAGATGGACCAAGCAAAGGAGGTGTTGCTGCAATTGTTGACGAGCGTCCCTATGTCGAACTCTTCCTCTCCACCAACTGCGCCTATAGGATCGTCGGTCAGGAGTTCACCAAAAGCGGCTGGGGATTTGTAAGTATAAAGATATTGCTATTATTTGGTTTGATAAGATTCGGTTTTTTTATGTATGAATGGTTTTACGTAGGCATTTCCTAGAGACTCTCCTCTAGCAATAGATCTATCAACAGCGATCTTAGAGCTGGCAGAAAACGGAGATTTACAGAGGATCCATGACAAATGGCTAATGAAGAACGCATGCACTCTAGAGAACGCGGAGCTCGAATCAGACAGGCTTCATCTAAAGAGCTTCTGGGGGCTGTTTCTCATATGCGGTGTTGCGTGCCTCCTCGCTCTCTTCCTATACTTTGTTCAGATCATCCGCCAGCTCTATAAAAAGCCAAGCAATGATGCCATTGCGAGAGATCAGCAGCAGAATCATGACTCCTCCTCCATGCGCTCCACTCGTCTGCAAAGATTCTTGTCCCTCATGGATGAGAAAGAAGAGTCCAAGCCCGGAAGCAAGAAGAGAAAGATCGATGGATCAATGAACGATACTTCAGCAGGATCGACACGATCACGAGGATTCGACAGAGAAAGAAGCTTCAATTCAGTAAACCCATTAGATTGAAAGTGTAGTTACATAGACATGCAATATTCTTTAACTGATTATAATTTCAAATTGTATCCCTAACTGAAAAATTTAATTTTTTCTAGACATTTATTATAGTATAGTATATAGTATTTATATCTCACAAAACTCTAACAACCACACACACAAGGTTAGAACTAACGATTCTAAAACGTTGAACGAAACCATACCGTGACATTAAATTAGTTGGGACCATAAAGGTTGGTGTCTCTTTCAGAGTTGAGAGAAGGCCACGACATTCTAAATCCTGATCCAATCCCTTCACCAAATAATAAATTTTCTCAATTTTGGACAGACCAAACAATGAAACCTATCACTAATAATAACCACACAAACCCCAATTAAACCCTCTGCTTCCTTATCCTTCTTCTGGGGACCAAAAGAAAACACAGAACAGCTTCTTACTCTTTTTTCATGGCAGGAGAATATTCCGGTAGCCGGAGTTCTAACACGCAGCTTCTCGCGGAACTCGAAGCTCTAAGTGAAAACCTTTACCAGAAACCTCAGGTTTCAGTCGGAAACCGGAGAACCAACTCTCTCGCTCTCCCGCGCAGTTCTGTTCCATCGCTTGTTACCTCTGCCGATGAAGTGAGTACAGCACGAGCTGAGGATTTGACAGTATCGAAGCCACGTGCTCGGCGTTTGTCGCTGTCTCCGTGGCGGTCGAGACCCAAGCTTGAGGTAGAGGAGGAAGAGAATGTGACTCAGAACAACAGGATTGTTAAGAAACCAGAGGAGTCATCATCGGGATCGGTTGCGAAGGACGAGAAAAAAGGGATATGGAATTGGAAGCCGATTCGAGGGCTAGTTCGGATTGGGATGCACAAGCTAAGTTGTTTGTTATCAGTGGAGGTTGTGGCGGCGCAGAATCTTCCGGCCTCAATGAACGGTCTACGCCTTGGAGTTTGCGTGAGGAAGAAGGAAACAAAAGACGGTGCCGTTCAGACGATGCCCTGTAGGGTTTCTCAGGGTTCTGCGGATTTTGAGGAGACGTTGTTCATCAAGTGCCATGTGTACTACACACCGGCGAACGGTAAAGGTAGTCCGGCGAAGTTTGAGGCTCGTCCGTTTTTGTTTTATCTCTTCGCCGTGGACGCCAAGGAACTGGAGTTTGGAAGGCATGTGGTGGATTTGAGCGAATTGATTCAGGAGTCGGTAGGGAAGATGAGTTATGAAGGAGCTAGGGTTAGGCAATGGGATATGAGTTGGGGGCTTTCAGGGAAGGCTAAAGGAGGTGAATTGGCTCTGAAATTAGGGTTTCAGATCATGGAGAAAGATGGTGGAGCTGGGATTTACAGTAAACAAGGCGAATTCGGGATGAAACCGAGTAGTAAACCTAAGAATTTCGCTAATTCCTTCGGGCGAAAGCAATCGAAGACGTCGTTTAGTGTTCCGAGCCCAAAGATGACGAGCCGGAGCGAGGCCTGGACGCCAGCGAGTGGCGCAGAGTCAGTATCGGATCTTCAAGGGATGGAGCATTTGAATCTAGATGAACCCGAGGAGAAACCAGAGGTGAAACCTGTTAAGAAAACAGAGGAACCAGAACAGAGAGCTGAAGATGATCAAGAGGAACCTGATTTTGAAGTTGTGGATAAAGGAGTTGAGTTTGATGATGACTTGGAAACTGAGAAATCTGATGGAACCATAGGGGAAAGATCCGTTGAGATGGAGGAACAACGTGTTAATGTTGATGATGCTCGGCACATAATGAGACTTACCGAGCTTGATTCGATTGCAAAGCAGATCAAAGCGCTTGAATCGATGATGAAAGACGAGAGTGATGGAGGAGATGGTGAAACAGAGTCACAAAGGCTAGATGAAGAGGAACAAACGGTGACAAAGGAGTTTCTTCAGTTGCTTGAGGATGAAGAAACCGAGAAGCTCAAATTCTACCAGCACAAAATGGACATCTCTGAACTGCGGTCTGGCGAATCCGTTGATGATGAATCTGAGAATTACCTCTCAGATCTCGGGAAAGGCATCGGTTGCGTTGTTCAGACAAGAGACGGTGGTTACTTAGTTTCTATGAACCCTTTCGACACGGTCGTTATGAGGAAAGACACTCCTAAGCTTGTTATGCAAATCTCGAAACAGATTGTGGTAAGACCTGAATTTATATTTACATAACAAAAACAAGAATCTGAAATCTCTATTACAGGTACTACCAGAAGCTGGACCAGCCGCTGGATTCGAGCTATTTCATAGAATGGCGGCTTTGGGTGAGGAACTAGAGTCAAAGATATCTTCGCTTATGGCGATAGACGAGCTAATGGGGAAAACAGGGGAGCAAGTGGCTTTCGAAGGAATAGCGTCAGCGATTATACAGGGGAGGAACAAAGAGAGAGCGAACACGAGCGCAGCGCGGACTGTGGCAGCTGTTAAAACAATGGCTAACGCGATGAGCAGCGGAAGAAGGGAGAGAATAATGACCGGAATCTGGAACGTGGAGGAGAACCCACTGACGTCGGCAGAGGAGGTTTTAGCCGTCTCTTTACAGAAACTAGAGGAAATGGTGGTTGAAGGACTAAAGATTCAAGCTGACATGGTGGATGATGATGCTCCTTTCGAAGTTTCCGCTGCCAAAGGTCAGCGGAATCCACTCGAATCGACCATTCCACTTGACGAGTGGCTAAAGGAGAATCGCACGCAGAAAACACTAACGCTTTTGGCGACAGTACAGCTCCGTGACCCGACAAGGAGATACGAAGCGGTGGGAGGGACAGTGGTGGTAGCAGTACAAGCGGAAGAAGAGGAAGAGAAAGGGTTAAAGGTAGGAAGTTTGCACATTGGGGGAGTGAAGAAAGATGCGGCAGAGAAGCGGAGGCTTACGGCGGCGCAATGGCTTGTGGAACACGGAATGGGAAAGAAAGGGAAGAAGAAGAGTAATATAAAGAAGAAGGAGAAGGAAGAAGAACAGGAAATGTTGTGGAGCTTGTCATCTAGAGTAATGGCGGATATGTGGCTCAAATCTATAAGGAACCCTGATGTGAGATTGCATAGCTGATCTTTGAGATATTCATATTATACAATAAGATGCATTTGTTTATCTATGTTTTGTATATTTTTTTCAAGAGTTTCAAATTTTACCTGCAACACACATTAGTAAAATGTCTTTTTACCAAATTTTCAAATTTCAGGAATTGGTTCAACTAATTTTCCCTAATTTTATGTATTGTTTTTTTGTTTACTAAGAAAGTCTTATATATATATCAACTCTAAAGTTTACAAATGCATAAAAATTCTACCTTTCCAAAACTATTTTGTACAAAACTATAAATATAGGACATGGCAAACATGTAGAGAAAAAATTAACTCAAAAATTAAACCATGTAAGGAACTTATATAGTAAATAATAATTACATAGCTAAAGCCTATGTTTCCAAAAATTGCGTATAGACTACTAAGTAACCAAACTATTAGACTGTTAAATTTGGTCTATCTTAAGGGTCAAGTAAGACGAAATCCATATATTAAAGGAGAAGCCAATTATTCTCACTTTTCATTCTTTTTCCTCGCCTTCTTATGCCATTGTTCTAATGCTTTTGAAGTTTGTTCATCAAACACTGATCGCTTCATAGTCGATCCCATCTATAAAATATATATTTTAAAATGAATTATGCATGATAAACAACTATTCAATGAAAAAATTCAAAGGAAAAATAAATATAAATGTTGCATACCTGAGTTACGAGAGCGTAAAGGGGCAATGTGATATAACTGCATAGGAATTGTACGACTACCCTAAATCCAAGACCATATATTCAATTTTCACAAACTCGGAAACTTAAAAAAAAAAAAAAAAATTGCTGATGAAAAATTATTACTCACCCTAGACAGACACGAATGATTATAAGGCCAAAATGGTGATGAAAACAGGACCTTAGCCCAAACTCATACTGCAACAAGAATTATTAATTCATTATTATAAAAATATCTAGAAGCAATTAGTACCAACATAAAGTAAAACTAGAAGAAGAGATTCTGAAAAGTTTACCCATATCCAAAAAAAATAAGTAATCTCAAAAGCATTCTGAAAAGTTTCAAAAAAAAAAAAAAATCAGTAATTATACTAAAACATCACATACACTTATATGAATTTACCTGAAACAGAACAAAGTGGATCATATGAAGTACTAGAGCGGGTTTTTCAAACCAAAAATGTTGGTCTGAGACGTTGACAACTGGCATCCCTTGAATTACTGCATGTCTCTCTTGAATCTCCAATGCCATGTACGATATAATGGCTTGAAGCTTTGTTCCTATGGCTAGTGTTAACTTTAAAACAATCACATTAGTTCATAAAATTTTCTTAATTTTATGAAGTAAGAAAGAGCTAGCTTCGTATAGTAGATAAATTAACGACTTACTAGAGGAGGAATCATGGTGATTACGGCGGTAATATACCATCCTATTAAGTTTGTTTATAGATATATAGATCAATTATTAGTTTGTCGTATGTCGAAAACAAGACAAGATATTATAATGTAGGAAAATGATAAACGAAAGACTAACCGTGAACATCGAAGAGTAAAAAAAACATTACAAAGGCCCATAGCTCGGGTCTGTCATCATCAGCAGTGGTAGATTTCATTAGAAAAAAATTAGACTGAAAATGTGAAAGAGGATATGAGTTACCTTATTCCCACAACCACCTTGAAGTCGTCTTCTAACGATCTTTTGATGTACTTTTGAAAATCAAATTTCATACCAGGTGCCAAATGAACCTAATTACATAGGTATTTAGAGAAACAACAATTGGATATTAATGGAGAATCAATGTAAGATATTAATGCACTCACACTTATGAATCCATGTCGCATTGTCAAGTAGTCAGACTTCCTCACTGATCTAAGTATTTGACGGAAGAAGCACATCTGAAAAAATAAAAAAGTATCCTCTAGTTCCATTAGATTAGAGAGGGAATAACTGATTGAGCAAGAATAACACTTAAGAAAATCGTACAACGTAGAAGAAAAATTTATTGCTAGCCCAAGAATTGACATGTTCGCGGACAAATGATGTCTCATGTGTGAGTCTAAATCTTGATGGATCTGTATAAAAAAAAAATAGAAAGGACAGTAAAATTTTGTGTGCGTGTGTGGATATATCATCAAAAAATTGGATATATCATCAAAAAATTAAGTTCACTCTACCATTCATCATTTCTTGTTCATGGATGACCTCTTGCTCCCATACTTTCCAGCCACGAATCTGTGTTTACGAAAAATCGAATTATTTCAATTAAAATCATCATCAAGAGATGGACACAGGACACATGTATACACTGACAATGTTATACCAATTTACCTTGGCTCTTCCAAGCATCATGGTTATAGCACTATATATCACATGGAACACGGCCAAGAAGAATATGAATATATGAATTTGATGTAATGCGTTTAGTGATATAAGTGCGACATAATCCTGAAACACCAAAAATAGAAATAATAATTCAATAAAACTAGTTAAAGTTTTTAATGCTGAAATAGTAGTTAATATTACTTTCTTGCAATTCACTGGAGGAGCGTCAGCCAAAGAACGACGTTGAATGGAGGAGAGAATACGCATTGCGTGGTCTGTTTTCTTGAGCTTTTTATCATCATGATCTTCACTAGGTCCATCATACGGACCGCAAAATGACATTGCATGACCGTATCTTGATGGAACACATATGCTCGCAATGTAGTTTTGGCCAAATGTTAGAAGCAGCGAAATAAATCCCAAAACCATAAGCTCTACAATATGTAACATAATTTTGAGTTAATTATATAGGAAACAAATCAATGTTCCTTGATTTCAAGAAACTAAAAACTTAATTTCTAGATTGCTACCATTTTTAATCTTCTCAAGAGCTTCAAACAAAGCTTTCTTCTTCTTTCGTTCGAAAACCTACAAGCATGGAATTAAGTGTAACCAAAAAAGTAACAAATACAAAGAATATATACATAAGGTATAAAAGTTCTCTATGAAATTACCTCGCCGACTTTGTGAATGATGAGTTCCAAAATAATGGAGATCAAGATGATAACACCACAAACTGTAGAAACGGCCCAAGTCGGGGTCTGATCTAGCTGTCGTGGACCTTCGCCTCCTCCTCCACCACCACCACCTCCAGCCATTCTTTAAAACCGTACGTGATGATTATCTTTTTTTTTAGTATGAGTTTGTTTATCAGAATTCCAATGTCAACAGAGAAGAGACAATAAAAATGAAGTCAAAGAGATAGAGAGAATGAAAAGGAAGGGGATGATGTTGCCATTGACGAGCATGCGAAAATAGTAGATAAAAGTGTAGACAAATCCGGTGAGTTATTTTCTTAAAATTATTAGTTTTGATTTTATCAATTTATTTCTTCCCTATTTTACAGGTTTCCACATTATTTAAGTGGGAATGTATGGAGAAGAACGAGTGCGGAATAATTGGTGGAGGAAATTTAGAAAAACAAATGAGAGAATTAAAGAGACGTCGTTAGCAAACTGCAATAGACATCATTAAGCAATTGGATTAAAGATATATAGTATTTGCTAGAATAATTAATAAATTAAACTAGCATGCAAAAATAAAAAGCATGTGCAATTAAAATGATATTAACGAGAAAATAAAGGGGACAAAATCGTCTTTATGTACTACAAAAAATTGTTCCATTTCTTAGTGCATAAAATGTAGAAAATAGTAGAAAAACTGATACTTTTTTATTTTCGCCTATTTATACTACTAGAAAATGATCCACGCGTTTTATATTTTGAAGTGTTCACTTTTTTTTTTAATCTCAATTATAGTCTACAAATTTATGATAATGTTGTCAATGTGTTACATACATATAAACTTGCATTATGCATGTTATTGAAAAAATATGTTTACTTTTCAGTAAGAAAAATCAATCGTACAAACGATGAGTTGACCTAGTGGTTAAACACTTTGATTACCAAGAATATAGAGATCTTGGATGTTACGAGTGCGTTTCGCATTGGAAAGTTTATTTTTTCATCAGAATTTGCAGATATTTACCCAAGGAACAATAGATATTTAGAATTTGATTTAAATGTTCTGTTTCTTAAAGGTGAGTTCTTCACAAACCTGGATGGTTTGATATGAAACAGAGAGTAAGCTCTTTATACATTATAATCATACATCAAATGCCTTTTGGACCAAGAACAATAAGGTTAGTTGTGGGATTAGTGATACTCATCCGCTGTCTTTCTTGGTGCGTTTGTGCCATGGCTTTTTATCGAAAGACTGGAATGTCCGGATTTCTCACGTGTATAGAGAAGCAAACCGACTTGCCGACGGTTTACATCGTGTTATTCTTTTAGAGGATGTAGACGGGGCTGCACACCCGAGACGTGTTTGTTTGTAATTTTTAAAAATTTTGTTTGAATAAATAGGGGAGACTATTGTCTCTTCCAGCCTACCAAAAGAAAAAAAAAAAAACAAACTTTATGATTGATATATAATTTGATAACATAACTAAGAAAATTCAAATAATTAAAAATGAAAACTAAACAGGCGATTTTAGAATTTTTAAAAAAACTCCTTAAGTCTAATAAACCTCTTGCAAAACATGCATCCTTGTATGTCTCGTAGAAAACACCTTTGTAAGTTCTTAAATCTTCATCACATGTTGGACTTTTTAGAAAACGATAGAGGAGTTTCAAACATGAATCTCTTTCTATCTTATTTGAAACAAATGTTGTCCTTGGACTCTTAATTGTTCTTTGCCTTCTTTGAGAACATTTTAATTTCCTCTTTGATTCCATGTAAAATCTTGTTTCTTTTCTATATAAAGGTTAGTAATAAGTTATTGTAGCTTTTATACTAAATGAAATTCAATTAATACATATTCTTGAGTTAGTTAAATACCCTAAAATAGTCCAATGAACAGAAAATTTCTTAATTTTTTTTTTTGACGACTTTTGATTTAATATTATCATTGTTTTAGGAATAACTTTACCTCAATCATCTCAAAGACTCCTTCGATGGTCTTCTTTGTGCCCTACAAATAATATATCACGTTGGTAAGAATTTATTACGAAGATAAATATTCTCATTTTAAATATGATACAAATATATGTTATTAAAAAAATTATTTTTGGAAGATTTATTTAAAAAGCATACTTGCATATCAGTTAGATCCATGTCGAAGGTTTCCCCGAATTTTGTGGTATATGTCTTCCAGGTATGAAGAAGTATCACTTCAACTTTTCAAGCTGTCTTTTACATCTTGACATTACAGAGGAAAGCAACAGAAACAACCATTTCAAAGTTTGGAGGTGATAAACGATCGATGAAAAGAGGTAGTTGTTTGATGAGCTAGAATATAAAATGTATAACGATATTTATAGATAGTTTAGAAATCTTGGTGAAAATCTAGCTGAGCATCTAGCCTAGCACTAACATTAGTTGCACGACGGTGGTCAGATCCCTTCAAAGCAGCAGCCTGAGATAACAAGAATAAGACATTATCTCAATCAGTACAAGATTAGGAAAATAAATCATTGAATGAGAACAATGCCATAGTTTGACGTCAAACTTACGGCCTTCTGAACACCCTTGTTGGTGACTCTTGGGGGAAAACCTCCTTGAAGCCAAAGTCGCAGCATTGGCAGAGAAAAGGGCCTGAAAGAAATAAAATTGTAAGAGTTCAAGATTTTTTGAAATCTTATACATTACAGATAATTCAAGGGTTCACTACTAGAGAAGCATGTGGGTAAAATACCTCATCCTTCTGACCAGCCAAAGCCTTGGCCAATGCAATCACTTCAACGACCTTCTGGGCAGCAAACGCCAACCATGACTTGATTTCATCATCAAGCTTAGTCTCATTGATAAGATCAACAGCGGTGTGGAGAAGAGAGCAGGAGGTTGAGACCACAAGCTTGTCTGCATCAGAAAGACAACAGATCAACATTTCATATATTTGTTTTTGATAATTACCTAGTATTGTCAGGTAAAAGGCAGATGATTCGGGAAGAACATATTACCGTTACCAACAATGTCCTCAAGTGCCTGCAAGGTGCTTAGAGACGCAGCAAAGTCGTTGGCCCAGGTGATCCTTCCATCAACAACACCAGCAAAGAGGTACTTTCCCTCAGGGAAACCTGCCTTGACCAAATCAAGCGTAAGAGAAGTTGACCTCAGGGCCCAACTCAGGGACGATGTAATGGCTGCATCAATAAAGCATTATCACATTAGTTAACAACTCAAAAAGACAATGTCAACACCAGGGACACAAGAGAGTAGCAGTCAAGACTCACTAGTGGGTGTCAAACCACTTGGTTAATAAGAGATTTACAACTAAATATGAACCACCAAAAAATATAGTAAGCTTAAGGTCTTACCGTCTTAGATAAGAGTCCATTTTGTTAACAATGCTTATAGAAAAATCCAAACGGCAGTACCTTTTTCATATCTCAGGTCCAATACAAAAAAATTTAGAAAAGACTCAAACCAAAACCCTGAAAAAACCTCAATAGTTTCAAAAAATACAAATCAATCAAATCAATAAATATGAAAAGCTGAAGAAAGAGGAGAAAAGGAAACACAAACACACAAGAAAACCAATACAAAGGAGAAAACTTGGTACAAAAGTATGATTAGTGGCCTCTTCTTGCACCTTTTAATAACAGAGGACACAGTCTGATTGAAAAAAAAAACAAAACCCAGAAGTGCCTATCATTAACATTTAACAAAGATATATTTACTTGAGTTTGAGATGTATTACCCTTTGATTTTTTCAATCTGAGTCACTGGAACTAGAGCTTGAGCTTGAACTTGAACTGGAGCTTGAAGAATTGGACTTAGTCTTATTCTTCATTTTCTTCTCCTTCTTTCCTTTTTGCTCTGCAATGTTTTCCCTCGAATTCTCTGGAGTTTCTTTGGACACAGGACTCTGGACATTCACATCAGTGTTGCTTGCGGTGGTCTCAGCTTTCGCTTCCTCGGTCACAACTTCATCACTTAGTGTTACATTACTAGGACCAGCTGCTTCTGTGGGAATCACCACTCTTTCAGAGATTACTTCCATTGACATCCCCTCTTTTGGTTCAGAAGGTTTAGGGAATTCTTCCAGTGATCGAGTTTCGACAGGTAAAACATCGGATGTTATCTCTTTTGGTTTACTTTCCTCTTCTTCTTCTTCTTTTACGGGTGTGTTGTTTAGAGGAACGTTTGTTTCATCAATAGATCTTTCTTCAACTGAAGACTCTGATGGTTCGGATCCAACTACACACTTGATTTCTCCAGGCCTACCATCTGATTGTGGTGATTTTGGTTGCTTGTCCATGCTCTCTACAACAGCCTGATTAATAGCATTTTCTAGATCTTCCTTCGACGTAGCTTCCACAACTGCTAAATCTGACCCAGTATCTGTTGAATTTTCGTAATTTTCTTGAGCCAACTGATCCTGAACGGTGCTTGGAAGAATAACATCCTCAACCTCAGATCCTTCATGGATTTGCTGGAAAGCAGAATCTATGTCTTTAACCGATCTCGCTTCAAGAACAGGCAGAGCTTCGATCAATTCATCGGCAGTGTCAGGTCCTATCGAAGATGGCCCAGGTTCAGAGTCTGTCACAATTTCCTTAACACTGAAGTCTCCAATGGAGTCAAGTTCAGACAACAATCCTTCATCAATCTCTTTTATCTCGTCTGCCTCTTCAGTGATAATTTCAGGAGGACTTTCAGATATTGCATGCAAGTCTGTAAGCTGATCTAATCGCTGCACCATATCGTCAAGCTCCTCATAAATATCCTCTTGGAAGAATTCCGCCCTTGAGCCTTCACCAACCATAGGTGTCGTGTACTCGGGAGATTCTGCTGGAGAGGAGGAAGTGTCAGATGTCAAACAAGATAACTCCGCTGTATCTTCAGGAGCATCGTGATACTCGTGGAAAGTGATGTTGCGGGAAAAGACGACACTAACAGGACCTGCACGAGTTGGTACCTGCAATAACACATCACAGCGGTAAGAAACATGTCTCCCGCTTAACAAATTGTAGAAAGAACAAAGAAGTCCAAACATTTTGGAGGTATCAACCTGTTGTTATTTCCAGTTCCAGTTAAGAAACCACATATCCAGATGACGTACCATTATCAAATAAGAAACATGATAAGTATATAAAATATGTTCTTGTACATGTATCAATGCGCCATCAAGTAACTAATCCCGTATATCACATAGAATTATCTTAAACTTAGAGGAGAGCAGCAGGAGATAGTATGTTAAACTCATCAGATAAATGTTCAGACTTCAGATTAATGTTGTGATATTGTGCATTTATGAGAGAAGATAAGTTTCATGACTTACTTGATCTTCACCAGGTTCAAGAGATGATTGTTCTACCACAGATTTATCTGACCAAGTCAGTTCTCTATCTGATTCAGATGGAGTTGTTTCTTCAGATCCCACATTTGGGGAACCAGCATTTACAGAGTCTACTTCGATATCCATTGTTTGGTCGGGGTTAATTTCTTCCTCCGCATCAAGAACTGATGAGTGAGCTGGTTCTTGTTCCAACTGCGGAACATCTTCATCATTAAAAGAATGCGTCTCAACATACTCAACTGCTCCAGAAGACAAAGTGGCATAATTATCTATTGGGATGTCTGCATTGAATGTTTGAGGACTGGCTTGATCTTTTTGTTTCCGGGATTCCTCTTCCTCATGCATTATCTCTTCAGCTACTGACCTGTTTACTGAAGTTTCAGCTATGTCACGTACCACATCAGGTGATTCTTCCAGTGATGTTACATGCTCCCTCGTATCACCAGATCCCAGAGGTGAATATGTATGCTCAATTGGGAGATGTTGTTCAACCATCTCTGTAGATACTACTTCCTCTTCTGTAGGAGAAACCAAGCCCACCAAAGATGCACTAACATCTAGCGTTCTGGTATCTACAACCTCTCTCACGGCTTCATGCAGTTCTTCCAGTTCCTCTGAACTAGAAACAGATAAACGGTCATCCTCCTGGTCATCAGCATTCTCACTCTTACCCAAAGGCATAGAAGCCGGACCAACTAAGGCATCTTCAAATTCAGACCCTGAAACAATTGAGTTATTTTGATCATTAATTCCAACCTCTGCAATGACAAGGCTTGCCTCTCTTGTTACATGCGTGCTAGTTTCTCCTACTTCCTTTGTCCTTGTTTCAGTCTCATTAGAAGTGGAATGAATTTCCTCAGGACCTATGCTTTTAGAATAAACTTCATGTTCTTTCTCTTCATTTTCTTCTACTTCTTCCCCATTCTTTTCAGGTAGATCTGGTTTGTAATCAGACGACGACACAGAAGAAAATGATGGGAATCTACTGCCTGAGGGAGGACTCGAATCGTAAACAGGTTCCTCGTGGTGGCCATCTCCCAAACCACAAAGAGCATGAATTGCTGACTCATCAAGTGAGGGATGCGCAGTAATGAAAGATTCTTCAGCACGAGCTTCATCATGGTGGTAACCATCCTCCACCACCCTAGCCCCATTGATTTCTAATTCTCCAAAAGAAGGCTGGGAAGACGCACCTGATTCTTCATGAAGATCAACTACCCGTTCCGAAATCAACATTGCTTCATCTTCACTGATATCCCGCATATTTTCTTCTTTCTCTGATAAAGATGAATCACTATCACTGAAATACTCTTCAACAAGATTTCCTTTATCAGAAGTTTCTCCTTCCATCATGTTTGATTGCTCATGGTGTGTTTCTTCTCCACTTCCCAGTACTATCTCAGCCACATCATTATGAAGCTTTCTGCTATCAGCTTGTTCATCGAAATCGGAATCCTCAGACGAATGGCTTTTTTCTTCATCATGGTCAGAAGCTGAATGGCTTTTTTCTTCATCATGGTCAGAAGCTGAATGGCTTTTTTCTTCATCATGGTCAGAAGCCATATCAACTTTAGCAATTTCAGTTTCTCGATCAGCATTATGTTCATCCACCTTCTTTTCATCATCCTCTAGGACTGTGCACACAGATTCAGTATCAGGAACCGAACTGACTTTTGATTCACTGACTTCACTGAGCTGCCTTTCAAATGGATAATAGCTCGTTCCCTCATTTGCTAATCTTTCTAGCACAAAGAAAGGTCGTAGCCTATCATGCCTAGGACCTCCAAGCATTGATGGGCCTACACTGAAACTTTCATGTCTTCTGAACACTTGATCCTTTGGTTGTTGAGAAGAGAACTCTTCTTGGAAACCGTCAGCCTTGAGGTCTGGCTTTTCTTCATTTGGCTCATATGGAAGATCAAATGGGTTTCTCCTCGCAAACATAATGGACGGGGCAGAGCCAGGGATAGGTGGTAATCCCATATCATCATAGGAATCATATGGAGCATCAAATGGATTCTGCCTTGCAGTTGAGATTGGCGGCATATTAAAGGGAATATCAGCACTGTCAAAATCAATAAGATTTCTCTCTGCCATCAGTCTCATATTGTGGCGAGCCCTTCTCCTGGCAATAAGATTCTCCAACCGTTGGTTTCTTTCAAGTTCAAGACTTCCTAGATCCATAACATTTCTTTGGTCAGCCTCTGTCCACTTGATTGCTGATTTACTTTCGTCGTCCTTATCTTCTTTCTTTTCATGTTCCTGTTCCTCTTCCTCTTCTTCATCTTCTTCCTCATCTTCATTCTCGTTGTCGCCTTCTTCTCCATGACTTTCACTGTCAACATCAGACTCCATTCCTTCATCACTACTACTCCTACCTTCATCACTACTACTCCTATGTGGCCCCTCTGAAGCTGCATCTGATCCTTCACCATCTGCAATACCACGATTAGGAGCTTCTGAGTGTAAAAGCGGGTGAAGCTCGTCAAGCATCGGAATGATGTCTGTCATAGAAGCATCAGGCGAAGAACTTTCTGCACCATCAGACCCAGAATCCAGCGAGTCATCACGGTCCGCATCATCATCCTCATCCTCTTCATGCCTCATTGGTCTCCAAGGTGAAACTGGAGATACATCCATCTGATCATCTTTGGAATCGTCAATCCTTTCATATAGAGTTCCGTTTTTCCTCGATTGCTCTCCACCCAAAGCTTGTGTCCCATCATTTTCAATCAGTTTCTCCTCTACTCTTTCTCCCATCTTGTCCACATCCAAAATAAATGCTATCTCCTCAAACCTTACCTGAGGATCCCGTTTAATCTCATCAAGAGTCTCATCAACTAAAGGCCTATAATCAAAAGGCCGACCATTGTCCTCAACTTCACTGAGTAGGTTTTCCACTAATCTATCAACATCATCATTCCCATCCTCAAGCACATCTTTCTCCGCCCCCACGAAACTATCCACCGTAAAACTCTGATCTCCTCTCTCAACAACAGTAACATTAGCATCCCTCGAAACCTCAGTTCTAAAAGGAGCAGCCTCGTGGACAATCTCCGGTTCCTTATCGATTTCAGGAATGTTTGGCTCTCCAAAACTCAAAATCGTGCCAAGCAAAACGAAAGTACACACCAAAACAGGAGATGCAGTGACCAAAGGCGCAAATAAAAGAGGACAATATCTATGCAGAAAATACAAAAACCCAATGAACCCCAAAAGAAAGGGATGATTGCAAATCCATCTGTAGGACATTCTGATCTTAATGACGAATAATCTCCGAATCTGAACTCTGAACTCCGACGACCGATCACTGATCATCTCTTTTATATTTTTCCAGGTTGTTTCTGTATAAGAATTACAAAGAACAATCAGAATCAGATGACAGCTTGAAAGTTCACATACTCAAAAAAGGAAACATTTGATCGTATTTAAGATTTGAGCTTAGATTCATTGAATGGTATTTCACAAACAGACAGGTTGATATAAAAGCTGTTAGAAATTCATGTGCCTGTGGTTGTCTTATGTACATTTACAAGTAGTTTTGTTTTCTCTGCTATTTTTAAGTTCTAATCTGACAAACTTGAGCTCTCTCTTAGGGACTTGAGTCTACTACTAGTACTTGAGACTTGAGAGTATAATCGAAAACTATTAGATCAAAACCAGATGCGAGATTTATCGATAAGAGATGATTAAAAAGCGGATCTAAACGAATACGAACACAAAAACAGCAATCATTTTCAAAAGAATCAGATCCTGCAGAAACCAGATCTACGAATCGAAATAAGCAGATCTGAGTCCAATGAACTCACTCAGCGAATAGATGAATAGATGGAGGAATCAATCAAAAAAAACACTAAGAAAAGTAACGTGGAGAAGGAAAGCGAAGGAAGCTAAAAATAAGAGAGACGCAACGTAAGGAAGACATAGAAACTCGGAGACGAACCTGACGGAGGAAGAATCGGAGACGAGAAGGCGAGGAGAGGAAGAAGAGTGCGCTCTGTGAGAGTTTATTTATTATAAGCCAAAAGTCTAAAATGACAGATCGATCGTTGGGCTCTCTGTCATTTGTGTACCTTTCGGCATTTTATTACTATTTATTTTAATATCCCTTTTTTTTTTTTTGGTCATGGATTTTAATATCCCTATTTATTATTATTATCAGGCTATGAGTATTTCTCTTTTTTTTTTTTTTTATTGTCAACGTGAAGGGGGAGTTGGTGTACGTGCGGAGCAGCTTTGATCGTAGTTAAGATAGAGATAAACAACAAGATGGTCTAATTCAAATCAATATCAAAAACTTTAGATCACAACACAACGTTAATATCAAATCAGATCGAGGATCAAATCCAGAAATCGGAATGAAACCAAAAGGAACAACCAGATCACGGAGATATAAAATCAAATTCAAAAAAAATCACTTGGAAAGCCCTAAACAAAAAAATTAATAGAGGGGAGGAGACGTGGGGAAGCCATGGAAAGTCGGAGACGTACCTTACAAAGATTGTGTTGGAATAGACTCGTTTTCTAATCAAGAAAAAAGAAATTCAAGAAATGAAGAAAATCAAGCAACAAAGAGGATTGAGCAAAAGGAAATCATGAAGAAAAGGTAAACAAAAAAAAAAAGATAGGAATTAGTAATTTACTATTTGTGTTTAGAATCATAACTCTATAAATAGGATGTTTGTGTTACAATTAAATTCATAGAAAATAGAGAGAATTAATAAAAAGAGAAAGGTTTAAAGAGAAATCAACAAAATCCCAACATGTTCGAAATTAGAGAGAGAAAACAAAAATAGTTGACTAATCAAAAAGATGGCGAGAGAGGGAGCCAAGAAAAAGAAGTGTGGGCTATGTAATGTAATGTTGTTGGCTTCTTTACAGCAAAAACAAAATGATTTTGAACTTTTTTGTATATGTAGAATTTTACATTCAGCACAATTATTTAATTTCATTCCTAATTTTGCAAATAAATATTGCCATTTTTAACATACATGCTGTATTTTTTTAATTTTTTTGTGTATTAGCTAAATTTCTGTTATGTTATTCTAATCAAATTAGCATCACCATAGTTTAAATTCAGAATGAATTTGATATTTATTTACATAATGAATGATTGTGCAGATGAACTTCTAATGATCCTCAACGCGAAAAATACAACAAGAAAATCGGAGTCATGAATGCTCCAATTGCCAAACCAAAAGGGAGCAAGAAGATGAAAGATTGGGAGACTTAAACCGCACCAACATTTAGTTGAGTTTTAAATCCAAAACGAAGAATTGGTATGTAGTAGTTAAAAATATTTTACTCAGTTATGTCCCGAGTTCTCTAAATCGCACGAAAAAATATTGCTTTGTGACTACCATAAACTCGTGGCCTAAGGACATCGGTCTTTTGTATCGCATCAATTATTGATCAATCAATATTGTCTACTAGTAAATTGTAATATGAAAGCCTATTCACATATTTAATTTCCATGGTAGGAGTTTGATGATTTTTTTCTTTTTTAGGTTAGAACTGATGAGATTTCAAGAGACATTTCTGAATACAGAAATAAAATTGATCGAAACAAATTTAAGGAATGGCTTATATAACATTCTGAATACAGTAATGGTCATTAAAATTGTTAATAACCCCTCATAAAGATTATCTTTAAACTCATTTATAATATGTCACATGTAATGTTTGTATTAGTCCTGTCACGGATCCGGATATCCAGCTTTTTATAGTATCTGGATCCGGATCCGTCAGATTCGTTGTTTTAGTATAAGGATCCGGATCAGTATACCTCAGATATCTGGGTTTTGCCTACACGTGAAAAGGATTCGATTTTTTTTTTTTTTTCTGAAACAAATTCAATTTTTTTCTTAAGTTCCGACTGAATCCTTAAAAAAATCTAGGAAGGAAATCGTGGATAATGAGCTATCATTGCCTGATCGTTGATTAAAGCGTAAGAGCGGAAAAATATGAATATATCTCAAACTGATTAAGATCCAGATGATGATAATTTTGCAGAGTAACAGAAGAAATAAAAAGGAGAGCCAAAGGAGGAAGGAAAAGCTCAAAAAGAAAATTGAAAAAACTTAAATCGATGGATTTGTTGAAAAGTTTAAAGGAGGGAGAGATGGAGAAACAAAGAGGATACAAAGGAAAAATACTTAAGTTCACTCCTAGGAGTGAACATTTTTGTTCACCTCCTTTTTTTCTAACCAATCAGAATATGCCATCTAATAAAAGTAAAAAAATAAAAATACATTATATATCAGTTTGGGTTTATAAAAGAAGGTTAGGGTTTAGATTTTACAATTACACAAAGTTAAATATCGGTTTAAGTTTATAAGATAGAGTTAGGGTATAGATTTTACAATTAAACGAGTTTAAATTTCGGTTTGGGTTTAAAAGAGAGGGTTAGAGTTTATATTTTACAATTAAACGAGGTTATATGTCGGTTTGGGTTTTATGAGCGACGGTTAGGGTTTATATTTTAAACTTAAACGAGGTTATATGTCGGTTTGGATTTATAAAAGAGAATTAGAGTTTAGATTTTTCAATTAAACGAGATAAAATATATATCGGTATGGGTTTATAAGAAAAAATAGTTAGAATTTATAAGAAAGGATTAGGGTTTACAATTAAATACGTTTATTTTTTTCTTTTTATTACGTGACATACATATTTTGATTGGCTAGAAAAAGAGAGGGCGAATAAAGGGGTTCACCAAAGTATTAGGAGGGACGTGGTGGCTGGTTGGTTAATTAGGGTTTTCTCAATTAGATCCAATTGAACCCATTAATTAATACTATCTTTAATAAACTAGACTCATTAGACTTTAATCCAATAACCCATTAATATGCTAAAGTTACCGGATCCAGATATCCGGCCAAAAAAAATTTCACTATCCGGATCTGGATCCGGACCAACTGGATATCTGGTTTTTTCGAAACGGATCTCGGATCGGATAACGGATACCCGCGAATCCGGGATATTTGTCCCAACCCTAGTTTGTACTACTAAAATTATGTACATTGGTTGGTGTTTTCAACACCCTACTTTTCACTCCACATCATCTTATCTTTCTTTCACATCTTCTTCTCTTTCTTCTGCCTAATAATTCAACACTTTACTATCTAAAATGATTTTGGGCCTGAATGTTTTTTGTCACCATTCACATCTACTATTCTTTTAATTTTATTTTAAAATTAAAAAAAAAAGCCCATATACGGGACAAACGCACACCACAACACATAGAACCGCATTACAAAAGTTAAAGTTGTGGGAGAGTTGTGTTTAATAACTGTAGCTAGTTGACAATAAATTTTTTATTATTATTTTAAATAAAAAATATTAAAAAATCACACTATATAACTCTTTTTTCTCTCTCAATGTATTATTCACAAACATCATTCAATATTTCTCTCTACTCTAAAAATATTCTTCTATCAAACGCATTCACTGATCTATATAACTCTTCTTTCTCGAGCTGTTATTCACAAGACATCATTCAATATTTCACTCTACTCTAAAAACATTCCTCTATCAAATACGCATTCACCGATCTGATTCGTTTGCACAGGTAAGCTTTTTTTTTTTAATATATATATATATAGATATATTTGATTATATAAGAATTATTATTCATTTATATTAAAAATAAAATAAAAATAAATAGCTCTACATATCCATATATTAAAACTAATTTACATCTTAAATAAAATAAAAATAAATAGCAATATCACTAATTTATTTTTATTTTTAAAATATTTATTTATAACATATATTTGCACCACTTATTGCGGTTTTCACCATTCACTCATTTGTATTGTACCGCATATCAGTTTTTTTACCATTCATATATTATCTCGTACCGCTTGTTACGCAATAACCGCACTTGTTCCGCATGATGCGTTTCTTTGAACCGCACCGCAGTTTAACCTCACCGCACTTCTAAGGGCCTGAATGTGCAGCAAGTTTCTTAGACCACTGGGTGCGTTTTGAATTTTGGTTACCATTCATCACTTATTATTAAGTGATTTAGTTTATGGAAAAAATAAAAACTAAAAAACTAAAAGGTTAGTGCGGGACAATTCCCTTTAGAACCGCAGTTGAAAAGATAAGACAACAAATATGTGTGGTTACTTCTGTTGTGCATTTTTTGATTATTTAATTTTTATTATTTTAATTGCAAAAATCTTGGTAAGAAATTACATGGATTAACTGATCTATTAATCTAGGTATACTATGAGTTGGTGTCATCTAGATCACATACAATTATTAAAAATCTTTAAAATTAATATTTTTATTCTAAAAATTAGTTCTCCATTGTTAAATTTTTTATATTTTGTTTAAGTCAATTTTAATTTTAAATTTTATGATTCTTAAATATTGAACACTCACAAAAAATTACAAACATCGTATTATTAATTTTCAGTTTGAAAATTTAATAAATATTTTATAATTATCTTTTATAAATAATATAGAAATTTGATCATTCATTAAACACTAAATTAATAATTTTAATTTATAATCATATAATATCATTAATTTAGTTTTATATAAATATTTATCTAAAATATATATTCCGCACCGCTTTTTATATTTTACCATTCAAACATTTGAACCGCAAGGCATATTGGTTTTTTCACCATTCATATATTATCCTGCACCGCTTGTTACGTAGTAACCGCACTTGGTCCGCATGATGCGTTTCTTTGAACCGCACCGCGGTTAAACCGCACCGCACTTCTAAAACCGCTTGTCCCGCACCACTCAAACCGCCGTCACCATTCGAAGCCTAAGACTAAAACCGCTTATCACGTACCACTCAAACCGCCGTCACCATTCGAAGCCTTTCTTTAAAAAAATTCAACACATTACCCTACCATTTTTATTTCATATTTATATTTTCTTTAATGTTTTTGGGTGTAAATGGTAACCGAGGAATCTGGCTGAATCTGGCTGAATCTGGCTGAATATATTTGTGTTTTTCTGCGGAATCTGGCTGAATAATTGAAAGTTCAAATGGTAACAGCTGAATCTAGCTGAATTTTTTTTAAAATAATTAATCAAATAAACTTATAAATTAGAGAATTGTTATGCTGAAACCGAACCGAAAAAGAAGAACTAAACCAAAACCTACGAAATAACCAAAATAGATCTTAAACTTCATAACCGAAAGAACCGAAACTAAAATATTTCGGACACCTAAATGAAACCGAAATTCAATTATATATCCAAAATATTAGTTTGTTTTATAACGAGTATTTAAAAAATCCAAATAATCAAAAATATCCGAATAACCGAACCGGAAACAAATGGACCTAAACCGTAGTAACCGAAAAATACTCAAAATTTCCAGAATATACGAAATTTTTTCCGAAAATGTCTAAAATACCGAAAAATATTCTAATTTTTTGGTTATTCAGATAAGAACCGGAACCGAAAAATATCCAAAAGATTTTTGGTTCATAATCGTTTCTTGATTCAAAAAACCGAAATACCCAAAACCAAACCGAACATGACCCAATTCTAAAATTACCGAATAGATGCTAAACTCAAAAACCAAAATACCCGAAACCCAAAAATACCGAATTGAAACCGAACGAAATACCTGAAAGTTGGAACTATCCGCTATTATCCCAAATAAAACCATAATATCATAAAAATATTTAAAACTATTAATTCTTTACCTTTAACAAAAAAAAAACTATTAATTCTTTAAAAATCCACAAATATACAACTTTTTCCATTCCTCAACTTTTCCTCTAACTTATCAAATGATGTAACATTTTTTTTTTCCTCAAGAATTCCTCAAAACCATGTTACCATTTAGACTCTTTGTTTTTATCACTTATTATTAATAACAATTATCGATTAAAATTAAATTAAAATAATAAGAAATTAAATTATTTTGTAAACTAATTTTTGGTATAAAAACAAGATATCTATAATCCTTAATATATTTTTTTTTGTTTTGACATCATATATAATCCTTAATTTGAATAGTAACATTAACGAAAACTTAAAATACAATGCAATACAATATTAAACACACGACACAACTTAAAACTCACAAACTTACTTAATATAACAGACGTAACATAGAAACTTAAAATTTTTTTAACCGTGGAACATCCCGAGTTTTTTCCATATGTGTTTGACTAGATCTGCTTGCAGTTGGTGATGTACATTTGAATCACGCAAATGCTAGTAGCACCTCAATCGAGAATAGTTGAGGTATGCTAGACCCACTTGCCTCAGATTGATTATAATCGTTTCACTATTGAATATATGTATCTCGTTCATCCTCAACAATCATATTATGCAATATGATACATAACTTCATGATGATAGCCAAATCATCTATGTCCCACATGCGAGCTAGTTCACGAATGATTATATATCTTAACTGCAACACTTCAGATGCACGTTCGATGTCCTTTCAACATAATTACACAGACAGATTTTAAAAATGTCTCGTTAGCTACACGAAGTATTGCTAAAAAGAAAAGGTATATTTTCTTATATTACCAAAGTTTTATTAACAAAATATATCACAAAAATAAACCACCAATTTTTTTTTGTGCTATATTTTATTATAAAATTTTGGTAATATAACAAAATATACCTTTTTTTTTGGCAATCATTTTTTTATAAATTCAAAGGTCAGTTTTCTTTTTAAAACAAAATATATCCTTTTCTTTTGAAAATAATATATGGCCTTTGGATATAGATCTATGTATATAATATGATATTCAAAGTATATACCAAATTCATTTATATATATCTGTAAAGTAAACACCACAAATCAAAGTATATACTATGGTGTTTATAAATTCATTTTTCTTTTATATATTCAAAGGTCGGTTATATATATAAAGTATATTTTGGTGATTTATGATGTTCTTAAAAAATGACCTTTGGATTTAAAAAAAAATATGATTTCCAAAGGAATAATGTATATTTTATTATATTACCTAACTTTTATAACAAAATAGAGCACGAAAAAAAAATTGGTGTCTATTTTGTTAAATGATTTTTTGGTATATTTTAGTTATATTACAAAAATTTATACCAAAATTTTGTTATATACAAAAATATATATTTTTCTGGTATATATTGCTATATTGGTTTTTGCTATATTTATTTCTGATATATTTTGTTATATTTCAAGTAAAATTATGTGATAATTTATTATTTTTAATTATTTATCAAAAATAAATAATAAATAGAAAAAAAATTGAATATATTTTTGGTCTACGCCGGTTAACATCGGTCAACGACATATTCTGGCAACCGGAGCACTGGAATTGGATGACCATGGTATTTGCAACATGACTTATGTTAGTTCGAGGATGTCTGTATGTAATATCAATACTTTTTGTAACTAACGAGACAATTTTAAAGTTTGCATGTGCGATTATGTGAAGACATGCTAAACATTTTCCCAAATATTATTTTTTGAGTCAATTTGGGCAGAGGTAAAAATGGGAACACTAATTAGGGGAAGGGTATTATCAGAAGCTGTCGGTTCCGAGGTAGTATCAAAAATTATAAAGGGGTTGGATACAACATTTCTTTACAAAAAAACCAGGTAACGTGGTACGTATGCGCGTGGGCGAAGAGAGGTGGCTCTATGTGCAACCGAAAGAACATTCTGACTTGCCTTTAATATGTCACATAGAAGTGATAGTTATTCGGCAAAAGTCAATACGAGCTGATGGTTATTTAATGCGTGTGTCTCTCGTTTGAGGGTGTGGGATTTGAAATCAAATGACAAAGTTTAGGCGCTGCGTTTATAGATATATATATATATATATATATATATATATATATATATATATATAGTTATCTATAACAGCAGTTTATAGAAGTTAAAAAAGGATGTAACTGTATATCTAAACAAATGTCGCTTGACAAAAACTGAATGGACATTTATATAAACACATAGAGGTCTAATATACTAAATTTACATAAGATATCTAACTCTATGAAAATATATGAACATGTCTCTAAACTTATAGATAAATATTAATTCATTAACTAATTGAGAATTTTTGATTAAATTCGATTTTTTTTTCCAGAAAAAAACATGTTTCGATTGATTTCATGCATAGCCTATGCTCCATCGTCTTCTTCCTTTTCACTCCAAAATTTCTTGTTTTGTTTGTGCTCTTAGTCACCGTCGTTGGTTTTAAATCTACTGTTTCTTCATCGTTTGCAAAAAAAACTCTAGCTATATATATTGGTCGTTTCTTCTTCCCAGATCCACTTACGTCTTTACCTATTTTTTTAGATCCAGTTTGGACATTCACAAATCTGCGTAAATCTATACTTTTGTGTTTGCATGTTCATAAGTTTTCTTGCGGGTCCATTAACTGTTCATCCCCCTCATAATCCACATCTAGCAAGACCAACCTTGTTCGGTCTCTACCTATTCATGTTTTTAGCAATCCAAGTTAATACATGGATATTCACAATTGGATAAGACTCATTATTTGCAAACGTAGAGCTCTATGTTACATTGGCTATGTTACCTTCGAGGTATGTGTCATCAACCACCGGCGCTACGTCCCTAGCAAAAGTTTGCACTGGCATTTCAAGCATATAAACATAATAAACACGACGCTAGTTTTCTTATCGGTTTGAATGAATTAGAAAAGAGTTGAGAGAGATATAAACATAAGATCTACATCTATTCTTTGTAGATCTATTTGTGAAGATCCAAAAAATGTTTTAGATTCTTATTTGTATCGTGAAAGTTATATTTTCCTATGAATTAACAATGGCGGTGTGAATAATAAACACAACACTAGCTGTTTTTCTTATCAATTCGAATATTAGAACAGAGTTGAGAGAGAGATGAACATGAGAAGGAGAGAGGTGTGTGGGACTATGAGAATGAGAGAAGTGCGTGGGGCTAAAATTGAGAAAAAAAATGGTTAATTATTATCATTATCTTGAATCATATTAATACCGAAAATTTAAATAACTCAAAAAATAGTTTCTCTCACCCAATTATCTCGTATTTTTTTATGGTCAATTCATTTTTCCCAATATTTATTTTTTTTCTTTTTCCTTTCATAAAATATTTGTAATTATTTAAAATTAATAATTACCACTGAATCGAAGAAGCTTGCTTAGATATCATCGAACTTGCTCCAACTGCTCTCTCTTAGGATCTCAGTTTCTTCCATCCATGGCGTCTCTTTCTTCTACCTCTCTCTCTCTCCCCAAGAATTCTCAACAACTCCATCCTTCATCTGGTAAAAACCTCTTTCAATCTCTCGAATCTTTTAGACTAATCTTCTTCGTGCTATATAGATTGTCGATTCCCGTTTTGAGCTTATGAGATTTGATATTATGATTTCTAATTTAGTATCTCAAGAATCCAATTTGATTGTGTATTGGAGGATCTTGGTTCCTTTTTTTTTATGTTGGGTCCTTTCTTTTGTCAAAAATGGTTTTGTAATTCATTTCACAATGCAAAATTAGAGCTTGAAGAGGTTTTGGTAGACATAAGTGTTTATCGAAAAAGTGTGAAACTTTTGTTTCTGATACACTTTTTAGCTTCCATTTGTGTCATAGTTTAGATATCTTGAGGCAGTTCCACTAATATCTCTGTATACAGTTGTGGTGATCTGTCAAAAATGGTTTTGAAATGCATGACAGAATGCAAAATTAGAGCTTGAAGAGGTTTTGATATAGATAAGTATTTATCGAAAAGACGAAAAAGTTTGACACTTTTGTTTCGGAATCACTTTATTCATCCTCCATTTGTCTTTGGTTTAGATATCTTGAGGCAGTTCCATTAATACCTCTGTAACAATTGTTTTGTTTTCTCATTTCATATAGTGAAAGTGAGCTTTCTTTTGTGTTAGAAAGAATCGAAATCCGGTTTGCATCTTTTTATGCAGATATATAAGTCACTGATTGTTGTTTGTTCTTATTACCTTTCATGCTAGGTGTTTTTCTGAAGCCAAATGCTTGTTGTGTCAGTGTTTCTTTTGGACTAAATCGCTCCAACAAACTGCATATTTCTGCTCCTAGAAACAAAAGGATTCTAACCATTCAATCTGCATACAGGTATAGGAGTTGATCCTCTTCTTATTGTTCTCTCAATTATTGTTTGAGATGTCCAAAAGTCTCTCATTCATTATTTGTCAAGTGGTTCTCGACTATAAACATCATACCTCCTGAATAACAACTAATGTTTACAGAGACGGTTTGCAATGTCTGATAGAATCAAATCTTGCAGAGATGATGATGGCTCAGGCAGCACAGGCCTATTTGTTGGAGGGTTTATTTTGGGTGGACTTATAGTCGGTGCCCTCGGATGTGTATACGCACCACAGGTAATATTCTGAATCACATGGTTTAGGTATAACACTCTCTGCTCTCCTTGACAATGTTTGTGAGCTATATCAGATCAGCAAGGCTATAGCTGGAGCAGACCGAAAAGATCTCATGAGGAAATTGCCCAAATTCATCTATGATGAGGAAAAAGCTTTGGAGGTAAGTTGGGATAACAATCACTATATTGCTAAGCCTGATTCATATTTTATCTCTTTCTGTTGATTTACTTATGAACAATGCTGTGTACTTTTAATGCAGAAAACACGTAAGGTACTAGCTGAGAAAATTGCTCAGCTCAACTCTGCTATCGACGATGTTTCATCTCAGCTAAAATCAGAAGATACTCCGAATGGTGCAGCTCTAAGCACCGATGAAGTCGAGGCTACTGCCTGATATCATCTGTTTTAGGATTTGAATCGAATCACGGGAGATTACTTATTATGATCCCAATAATTGTTTTCCTTTCTGTGTAATGTTGTACAACTTTTCGTCTATCTTTAAACGACTGCCTTCTTCACTGTTTCTTTTGAAATCGGCGTGTTGAAGGATATCACTGTTATATGCCAAACCTGATGTTATGAAGACTATATATTATATAATGTCCTGATCTGAGCTAACTTCCTGAAGAAAACTATCTGACATGGAAACAAGAATTATAAAATGACTGCCTAGAGAAACTTGTGATCAATGGCTCACAGAATCTTATCCCGATTTGTATCTTACCTACATAATAACCACATATTTCTTTGCTTCACTTTGAACCATTGGTTGCTTTTGATCAAAACCAAAGGATGTGTGTATGTATGTATATATTCTAACGCTCAAAACTGATCAGTAGCATTCGTAGATTCTTCTTGTTTCTCTTGCAGCTATGGCCACACATGCAGCTCTCGCCGTCTCCAGAATCCCGGTCACACAGAGACTGCAGTCTAAGAGTGCCATTCACTCTTTCCCTGCTCAATGGTCCTCCAAGGTACTAACTCCCTCTATCTAGCAAATACCCTCTCTGTGTGTGTTATGGTTTGTTTTATCTGCTTCTCTTGTTACTAACTGCACAGAGGCTAGAAGTTGCTGAATTCTCCGGTCTGCGTATGAGCAGTATCGGTGGGGAAGCATCTTTTTTCGATGCCGTAGCTGCACAGATCATCCCCAAGGTGACTGATTGAATTAATAACTGTATTTTTTATATATGAATGTGCATATATGTGATGGGTTTGTGAAATATTAGGCTGTGACAACATCCACTCCTGTTAGAGGAGAGACAGTGGCCAAACTTAAGGTTGCGATTAACGGGTTTGGAAGGATTGGTAGGAACTTCCTCAGGTGTTGGCATGGTCGCAAGGACTCTCCTCTCGAAGTTGTTGTGCTTAATGACAGTGGTGGTGTCAAGAATGTAAGTCTCTAATAAAATTTGTGATCTCTTCTTGTGGAACACATTTTTGACATTGATGAAATTGCAGGCATCCCATTTGCTCAAGTATGACTCCATGCTTGGAACCTTCAAGGCTGAAGTGAAAATTGTGGACAATGAAACTATCAGCGTTGATGGTAAGCTCATCAAAGTTGTCTCCAACAGAGACCCTCTTAAGCTTCCATGGGCTGAGCTCGGCATTGACATTGTTATCGAGGTGAATTTCTATCTAAACCTGCATTGTTCTGATGGCAAATCGCGCAAACAAACTTAGTTAATCGAAAAAAGATAATTGGTATATGGTTATGATCATCAGGGAACAGGAGTGTTTGTTGATGGGCCAGGAGCAGGGAAGCATATCCAAGCTGGAGCCTCGAAAGTGATCATCACTGCACCAGCCAAAGGTGCTGATATCCCTACCTATGTTGTGGGCGTCAATGAGCAAGACTATGGTCACGACGTTGCTAACATCATTAGGTCCGTTTAAAGTTAAACCTCTGATCTCATTAAAACAAGAATTACTTTGAGTATTCATGTTTCATTTTTGGTCTCTTTTGGCAGCAATGCATCTTGCACCACCAATTGTTTGGCACCCTTTGCTAAAGTCTTGGATGAAGAATTTGGTACATTTTCTTTTCTCTGCTTTACTACATGTTTCAAAATGGTTTCTTTCAGCTCATACATGAACTAAATTACAGGTATCGTCAAGGGAACAATGACAACCACACACTCTTACACCGGAGACCAAGTAAGATTCCATCTTTGTCTGTCTATCTATGTTGAAACCTAACAGAAGAGCTTGCTTGTATTCTCAAAATATTTCACTACTAATATTTAGGAGTATTGCTTAGGTTTTTTTTGTTTTTTTTTTGAATGCATGAAAATTTTAATCATATTGGAATGTGGTTTGCTTATTTGGGTTCCGTTTATGTAGATCGAACACTCCTAACACTTGTACTACAAAGCATTGAAATGATACTGCGATGTGACCCAATACATTCATCTAATCGATAGTGACATATATTTGTTTGAAATGAATGATTCAGAGACTTCTAGATGCATCACACAGGGACCTAAGGCGTGCAAGAGCCGCAGCACTGAACATAGTGCCTACCAGCACAGGTGCAGCCAAGGCGGTCTCATTAGTGTTGCCGCAGCTGAAGGGTAAACTCAACGGGATTGCACTCCGTGTGCCAACACCAAACGTCTCAGTGGTTGACCTTGTTATAAACGTTGAGAAGAAAGGTTTGACAGCAGAGGACGTGAACGAGGCCTTCAGAAAAGCCGCTAATGGACCGATGAAAGGCATTTTAGACGTTTGCGACGCCCCTCTCGTCTCTGTTGACTTCAGGTGCTCTGATGTCTCTACCACCATTGATTCTTCCCTCACTATGGTTATGGGTGATGATATGGTCAAGGTGGTTGCTTGGTATGATAACGAGTGGGGTTACAGGTGAGATATATAACACATTACATGATATCATTTTATGTTTTAACCTTTGATTGTTTGTTTGTTTACGTTTGTGTTTGTGTTCGTATTTTAGCCAAAGAGTAGTGGATTTGGCTCACCTAGTGGCTAGCAAGTGGCCGGGAGAGGAAGCTGTTGGAAGTGGAGATCCTTTGGAGGATTTCTGCAAGACAAACCCGGCCGATGAGGAATGCAAAGTCTATGAATGAACAACTTTGATCATTTCTTTCTTTATTTTTCACCAAAACATTACTTTATATCATGAGTTATTATTCGAAATCGTATTATGCATACCTCTTTGTTTTTCTTCATTTACGATTCCATTAAGAGAGATACCATAGATTTTCTTTTAAAAAAAAACAATCTCATAAGGTTTTCTTGTCTGATGAGCAACTATATGTTAAGACTGAGGAGAAATGTATTTGAGAACCATTTTATGCTACATGTTAAAACGGAATTTATTTGAGCAATGTATGACAAAACAAAAAAATTGTTTAATTTGGTTTACAAAAAAAAAGATGCATAAGTGTGTAACAAAATAATGAAACATCCAATCTAGGGAATAGAGATTTGATCTTTTCAACTTGATTTCTTTATTGTACGATGGTTGAAATTGATTTTTTTGAATCTCCATTGATGAATCTGGAAACTATATTATAAATATTAAAAATTTCATGATACATATGTTATTTTATATTAGAAATGAAAATTAAAGAAAGAATAAATTAAAATCAATGTAAGGTATATATCATATAGTTTTAAAAAATAAAAATTAACGACGATTTGTCAATTGAATTTTCAACCCATACAATAACAACAAAAATAACAAAATGGTATTAGGCTAATTTTTTAATTGAGTCTACAAAACTTTTAAAGGTGTAGGTGAAAAATGAGAAAATTATACAAAATTTGTTATTTCGATCATTTTCATTGCAGCTCTTCAACCAACTCAGTGTTTTTTTCTCAAGCTCCAATTGTTTCTTATTAGACTCGAGATTCCATCTTTTGTTTCATCGAGAACTAGTTTCCCCAATTACTGAACCTTTCGGATCAAGGAATAGTTGCACACATTCTAGAAATGAATCAGTCAATCATTGTGGTGAATTTTTAATCAATGCTTTAGGCAAACTCTGCAGGAAAATAACAAATGTTAAATTAGTAACATTCGATTAGTTTATTTTAAACACATTCATACGAAAAAAGCAAAAAAGACGTCTCCAACTATTCCGATTCCTATGACTTTTTTCTTTCTTAGGGACAACATAAAAATATTAATAAATGTAATATAATCATATATTTTTATAATTATATTTCAGAAATTAATCAAAAATAAATAATTTATACTTTTTTGGAAATTTTAGCAATTTCGGATATGATAGAGGTTTCGTAGACTGAACTGAAGAAACACCAAGAGATAGCTGCTAAGATAGTTGAGTCTAGGCCTGCGAGTTCGGGTTTTCGGGTCGGGTCGGGTCGGTATGTTCGGGTTTCGGGTTAATTGTGAAATTTTAAATGTTGCCGAAGATAACCGAAATTAATTTCGGTTCGGTCGGTTCGGAAACCGGTTATTTCGGTTTTTCAAAATTTAACCGATTTAAACCGAAATACAAGTGTATGCAACCAAAAATCACCATTTCTACTTATATCTACCTGTTATTATCATCAATTCATCAATATGCAATCAAACAAACAAAATCATAAGAAATATAATATTATCATTCATCACCATTGATCAAACAACATCCAAAAGGCATTACCAAAAGTTCAAAAGTAAACTAACAACATTCATATTTCATAAGATCAAAAGACATAATATCAGAATAGAGAGTTAAGAGTTAACGAGAGAGAGAGAGAGACAAGTTGGGTACACATGGTGATGGTCCAAAAAGACAGAGCCCTTCAAGTGATCACGGCGGCAAGTCTGCATCATCAGCCACTGTTTTGGATCCTACAACTGAAAATAATGAAGTAAGTCAATAAGATATGAAGTAAAATTAGTAAATCATAGAAAGACTATAAGAAACAAGAAATTTGAGTACCCAAGGACTCATAAAAAATCCAATTCTTCTAGCATTTGAACCAAATTTGCAAGCTTCTCTTGATGAATGGTATTCCTCAACCATTATTGTGTGCAAATGAGAGATTCAACCATGTGAGGGGATAGACAACTCCGGAAAGGATCCAAAATCCTTCCACTTGTACTGAATGCCGACTCTGAAGCCACAGAAGACACTTGAATGGCAAGGACATCTTTTACAAATTCTGACAAGACTGGAAACTTATGGTTGTTGCGTCTCCACCATGATAAGACATCATAGTCCATACCCAATCTGTTTTTTTGCCTTGGCACAGCCTTTTCCAACAAGTAAATGTCAAGCTCACTGGTCGCTACATCATTCACTGTCTCTGTAGCCAGCTCATCATACAATGAATCCTTACTTTCTAATACATCATCCTCCTCAAAAAGCGGTGCCAAATCATCGACTTCTCCACTCTTGTTTCCTGTACTTTCAGCTTGAGAGTTGTTACATAATCTCTGCACATACTCTTCAAACAAGTTCTTCATCAGCTTCTTAATGGAGCTTTTCAGATGGTCACTTTCCAAACTATCCTTCCCATAAAGCTTGTCAAAGCAGATATTAGCAAACTGCATCTTGTTCCTAGGATCAAACACACTAGCAATGATCACTAGTGGATTCATATTGATCAGTCTATCCCAATACTTCTCAAGTT